ATCTTACTATCAGTTATATCTTTAGTGCCCACAGGGCTGGGACATAATAGATGTTCAATACAGTAAGTTGAACTGGATTGTTCAATTTTCTGAGTGTAATGGCCTTTGCTGGCCCTGAGTTCTAATTTCTGCTCTGACCTTATCTAGACAGGAGACCTTGGGGATGTTAGCACTGACTCCAATGGTAAGAATTAACTGTGATAACTATGGGGAAATACTCTTAAGATATCAGCTCTCTTTCCTTCTTTTCATTTTCTAGTTTTAAAGGTACTACACTGGCTATTGATGCTGGTTAGAGTGGTAAGTTACCTTAGTACCTTTGATGAGGGAAAATAAGCTCACATGTAACCAAATGAAATAATAATTTGGGAGACTGTTTAATTTCTCTCACTGTTTCTGGGCAGAACAGCTTTAACATCTTCCAGTTGGCTTGTGCTAGCGGTACATACATGACTGTCCCACCAGGCAGCTTGTGCCACCAGTAGTTCAGAGCTGCCTGGCAGTGAGACATAAGAATTATGGCTCCGTTGTGAACGTGTTAAACACATCAACCATATGGGAGAACTATTCTGAACCTTAGTCCAAAGATGGACTTGTACATTCTCTCGTAGCCTCCCTCAAAAATGCCTCTCTTTCTCCCAGTTTCTTCTTTGTAAATGCTTGCTGGATAAGATTTAACTAAATGTTCAGCTTTAAATTCTGCTGTGTAGACTGTGGCAGCTGTATTTGTAGTAAAGAAACAAGTTGTTTTTCCTTCTACAACAGCAAAATTAGGAATTTTACTAGGCATCAATCTTAGCAATAAAATATATCAAAGTGTACTAACATTTCTGTTGATTTTCTCCTATAAGAATGATATGCAATTAACTCTTTTCATTTAGAATGTTCTAGGAGCATAATGTGCCCTGTTACTATACCTAAGAAGGTTTTCAGACAGATATGCAGCTGTATAGTACAGCTGTGTATAGTAAAGCTTCACTGAGGAGGTCAACATAAATGCAAACGCTTAAAAAATAGGTTAGCACCATTAAGCAGCAACCAGAGCAAGCCTGTGGGATCCCTGGATATAAAAAGGCATATTCCCCTAGACTTTTCAAGAGGATTAATTTTCCACAGATGACAGAATGTGGAGCAAGTTACTGTTATTGGGGCTGCAATCTGTGACTGTCACACCAGTTCTTGCCCTTACAGACTTCTGCAGGGGTTTCTGAGAGCCATCTAAGAAGCTGACGAATGACACTCTTATTTCTGCCCACTAGGAGTAACAAAAAGCATATATCACAGTCTGTTGCCGTCCTTTGTAGGCATGTTAAGATTTCTTGTTATCAATTTCTTTTTAGGTGACTGTTATGGTTTGTGTCTGGATGTCCCCACAAAGCCTCATGCAGTCATGGGGTGGGCTTTTCCGAGATGACTGAATCTAAAGTTTGTGATTGGTTTATTGTCTAGTGCTGGGATTGGCCGCGTGAGCGCTGCACATGCCCTGGGACAGGTAGCCTGCATACAATATAAGGGAGAGAAAGAGGCTTACTCCTCCCTTTTGCCCCTTTTTGCTTTTGCTGCTTTGTGCCTGTATGTATGGTTGCCCCTCTGCCATGCTACCCTGACTTGCAGCCAGCTGATTATGGACTGAAACCTCCACAAACTGACAGCTAAATAGCTCCTCTTTTATTTTGTATGCAGACTACCCTTCTAAAAAGCTCCTCCTTTATTTTGTATGCAGACTACCCTTCCCAGGGTGGGTGTAGCACTCACATCTCCAATCCCAGCACTAGACAATGAACCAATCACAAACTCTAGATTAAGCTGCCTCCAAAAAGTCTACCCCTATGACCTCATGAGGTGTTGGGGGGACATCCAGACACAAACCATAAAAATGACCATTTATAAAAATGTACAGTGATGCATGATCTGACAGACAAGGCAATGGACAATTCAAATTCACACAGATCCCAGTATCAGAGCAAAGAGAGTTTCTAAGCTAACCCTTGAACTTTTGCCCCTACCTCAAATACGCCCGCCTCCAGCTTTTCCTGACTTTTGTTTGTTTGGTTTTTTTTTTTTTTTGGTTTTTCTCTGGTACCAGGAACCGAACTCACGACCTTGCGCTTGCCAGGCAGGCGCTTCTGCCGCTGAGCTAAATCCCCAGCCCTTTTCCTGACTTTTGTTTGTTTGGTTTTTTTTTTTTTTTGGTTTTTCTCTGGTACCAGGAACCGAACTCACGACCTTGCGCTTGCCAGGCAGGCGCTTCTGCCGCTGAGCTAAATCCCCAGCCCTTTTCCTGACTTTTGGAGTTACCGAATCCTGCTTTATTGTATTTTTTTTTTTTTAATTGCCTTCAAGGGCTAACATTAGCAATGCCAACCCAACAAACTAGAGGACAGCATATAAACCTCCAAAAGCCTCAGAGATAAGTGAGATTTGAATGCAGTAGAGTAAGGCAGTTACCAGAATACAAACAGTATTATTTCAAAAAAAGGAGAAACCTGGAGAAAGAAGATGGTATTCTCACAGCTTAAAAAAAAAAAATTCTTGTAAGTTTTTAGTTTAAAATGAGTATTCTTACAGGATAGAAAGTAAAACACCTTTAAAGTATGCAAGATTTAGTATTTAATTCTCCGGGTTCTGATAAAGTGACTTGGGTTTTTAGATCATACTTCCTAACTGATTTTCACTGATAGAGTATTTCTAAAACTATTGTTTTCTTGATTTCCTGATATCCTAAGATAATTAAGGGCTTGATGA